CTTTAAAACTCAGCAAAAGTTTCTGTGGTGGTTGTATTTTATGCAGTAGCTCATTCGATGTTGATTAACTGTTGCAAGTTCCCCAATCCCAAGCCAGTTCTGAACTCTGCACCTTATAGCCTTGGTTGACACCAAGTTGTATATTGTTAAAGTTCTTTATCTAGCTGTTTTAAAAGGCTGTGCTGTCAGCAGAGAAAAAACTGATGTCTTCATTATTTTAAAAGAAAAATTAAAACGCTGAAAGAGAAAACGCTATAAGCTACATCTCTGGGAACAGTTAAACTTGCTTATTGAATGGTTTCATTGAAGTCAGGTAATAGGCACAGTGCTGCTGTAGAGCAAAAACTATTACTTCAGGAGTCACCTGCAATTTAAAAAACAAAACTGAAATGTTATCAATAAACAACAAAAATTTCAATTATTATTGAGAACAACTTCTCCCAGCTTAGTTCTTTCAACAGCCTTTTAATTTGAAGCACTAAGTTACAGAAACTCATATATTCTTTTGGTTGTTTAATCAAGAACGTTAAATTTCTGTATGCTTACCTACAGCTGTCCTCTGTTTATGGAACTTAAATAGCTGCAGCAATTTGAAGTGAACAGAAAAGTGTGCAGATGATGAGGAATAATGTCTGGGCAGTTCTGTTGGTTACAAGTCAGTCATTTGCCATCAGCAGTAACTCCTTGTTCCACCAACTGAAATCTAAGCGAGCAAGTTAGAGAATAAAGCTGAGTGAGGCATGATGTTTATAACGACCGTTGCATTTTGATTTTTAAGCTTTTAAAGTACTTTGTAAAGAGAAAATTCAAGAATTCTTAATGTATCTTTTCCAGTCGGTTACCAAGGAAACAAGGTTCCATTTTATACTGTACCACAGGAATTGTCCTACAGTGGCTCCAGTCAGATAAGTAAGTCTCCCTATTTATCAAATGATTTGGCTAATAAGCTGTTTCTACTGTTTACCAGCTTTTTTTTTTTTTTTTTTTTAAGGGAAACAGATGTTTAATTTTTTGCTCCTCTATTTTAGGCATTTGTCCAGTGTTAGTCATGTAGTCCTTGATGAAATTCATGAAAGAAATCTTCAATCAGATGTTTTAATGAGCATTATTAAAGACCTCTTGAATATTCGTATGGACCTCAAAGTAATACTTATGAGTGCTACTCTAAACGCTGAGAAGTTTTCAGAGTATTTTGGTAGGTGAAATACATGCTGGTGTCGTTCCCCCTTGCTTATTTTGGGATTGTACAGTATTATGCAGTTTTAGGTTTGACTTTTGAGATTGATTCCATTTTTTTTAAATAGTTGCTGTTTGGAGATTTTTATTGTCTTAATTTTATCTCAGCATGAATGTGTGTTGTTTCTGTGTTTGCCATCAAACGTATTGTGAAATATTATCATCCAAATAGTTTCATATTAAATGTCTTATCCACTCATACAAAATACAGTAAATATGAGAAGTAAAGCTTTTTAAAACTTCGTTCCACTGGTTTTATCTTGAAACTGGAACCAGATGAACACAGTGGAAAAACATACTGCTAGATGCCTATACGTTTTTATGGTTAGTCATGTTATTTGAATGTTAACTTGGCATCTTTACGAGAGTATAAGTGTAGTGCTTTTTTTGTTGTTATTTGTTTGTTTTCTTTTTTTCCTACTGCTCTTCCAGAAAATAATAGTATTTCAGTACATTGTTTTATTTTTTGTTTAAAAACTGAGTTACACTTTCTCAATAGATAACTGTCCAATGATTCACATACCTGGGTTCACGTTCCCTGTGGTGGAGTATCTTCTGGAAGATGTAATTGAAAAGTTGAGGTAGGTATGTTGTTGGCCTGTGAGTGAACACCAGTGCGTAGATAGTGTTTTGTTCAGTTTTGCTTAGTATATGTTATCAAAGCTTATCTTGGCATAACTATCCAAGAAAGTTAGTTTTGTTCTTCAGAAGAAAACTAAAGTTTATAGCAGTCATTTCAGAAAACCTTTCAGGGCAGATGGACTGAGCTTTACTGGAATAAAGAAAAATGAGATGTTACTTTTTATCACCTTCTAAATCTTGGCTTGAGGAGAAAAAAATCATAAAAACAGAAAAACAGTTCTTATGTTCAGTATCTATACTTTTTCAGGCTGCTAAATGAAGATTCTCCTTTTTTTTTTTCTTTTTTTTAACCTGTTTTTGTGTTCATTAGAGATGACACCTGTTTTTATAAATAGCTTTTTTTGTTGTTGTTACAGTTATTTTTTGTTATTTAACTTTAAAGATATACTCCAGAAAGCACAGACCGTCGGCCACGGTGGAAGAAAGGCTTCATGCAAGGACATGTAAGCAGGCCAGAAAAAGAAGAAAAAGAGGAAGTCTATAAAGAACGATGGCCAGACTATATAAGGCAGCTACGGGGCAGGTTGTTCTTAAGTTACTGTTTCATAATTTTTTGTGGGAGTACACAACTGAAAAACATAAGTCAGTACTGTATTTGTAACAGTGTTTTTATTAGTGGCTATTATGGGAAACGATAATAGTGTAACTGCCGATAGGGTTGGATAATAAGCACTGAAGTTGCTATATGGTCATCTCAGAAAACTTTTTATATGTGGAAATTGGAAGGGAACTTGTAGCTTCCAGTCGTTTGCCATTGATGCTGGTATTGCCCATTGCAATCTCATGTAATGTTGGGCTGCTTGAGCTTTGGTCCTTAATCCATTTTCAGGTTCTCCTCTTTTTTTTCAGTCTTTTCCTCTGTTGCAATAGAACTCACTGTATTTTTTTTAGTCTACAATCAACATAATACAAAATGCACTAGTATTCTGAGAAAAGACTTTAAAAAATATATATTTTACTATTGCTTTAGATCACGACAAGTCATGTTTTGAGCACCTAATAGGAATGTTTCCACTTGAGATATTAGATTTGATTGCTGGGTTTACCTTTTCTGCTGTATCTCTGTCCTATCCTGTGCCTCATTCCTCTGTTTGTACTTCAGTTATTTTCCTGACAGATATTTTAAACCAGTTGGCCATTCTTTCCACATTATTAGGTCTCTTGAAAGTGGAAGACTCAGTAGAAGAGAGATCTCTCACTGAGAGTTCTCAGGAGGTAAATAGAAGGGTAAACTCAAGTTGTATAGTTACAGGTAGTCCATGAGGAAGAGAGACATCATATAGATGCTCCAAATGCATTTCAGTCAGAACATGAAAATTCTTAAACCTGCTAATTTAAACAGATCATAATTGCAATAAACTGTATTTAAAAAAAAGTATATTGAATGTATTGAAGATATTCAACAGTAGTGGGCCACGTAGTTTGTAATCGCATTAGCCTTAGAATACAGACACGAATGTGTGACTTGGTTAGTAAGTGATCAGTATGCATGTTTTTGACGCCTGTAGGTATTCAGCAAGTACTATAGATGCCTTGGAAATGATGGATGATGACAAGGTTGACCTTGACCTTATAGCAGCGCTAATCAGGCATATTGTTCTGGAAGAAGAGGTACGTTTCTGTCTAATATCAATATGTTTCTGTGATGCTACTGAATTGTGGTCAGTGGCTATTGGGAATGTCAGAGCTGATAAAGTTCTTTTGTCTTATTTTATAGAGTTATATAAAAGAATTGCTTCTATGTGTGTGTGTGTGTGTGGATAAACATACAGAACAGGAGTGGATAAAAGGAGTGTTGCTGTTATACCCTTTTTTTACTTCCTGTTCAGAAATCGTGTGTTTTGTTCTCTTTTTAACTACAACTCAAGTTGTTTGATAATGTGGCAATGTTTAAAACACTAGAGGAAAATTAAAAGGAAATTTTTATTAAGTTCAGATAGCTTTCATTGTATGTTGCTAACTTTTATGGAAAAAAGGCCTTCAAACTATGTTTGAGATTTGAGTCAAATGATATCTCAAATACCATTTCATCTTAGACACATACATCACACTATAGCCAATTATTTTTTGCATAGCCTTATAAGTTATTGAACATGCTTTTCCTGTTTCCCCTCTCTTTTCCTCATATAGGATGGTGCAATTCTAGTGTTTCTCCCTGGCTGGGACAACATTAGCACTTTGCACGATCTCTTGATGTCACAAGTCATGTTTAAGTCAGGTAAAGACAAAACTTTACATTGGAACTTTAGCAGTAGCAGTAATGGCAAACTCTAATTTTTGCATATGTTAGCTGGTGTTGCGTTGTGGGTTTTTCCCCCGCCCCCCACCCTTTCGCCCCTTATCTTTCCTCTTTTCCATTTCAAGATAATTATTGTAAGTTCAGCATTTTTTTGGTCTGATAAAATGTTTTCCTGAATGTAGGATTCAACAACTTGGAAATTAATTTCAACCTGTATTCTGTTCCTTTTGTTCTTTCTTATTTTTGGCTGGACTTCATTCCACATAGAAAATCTTACTGTGTGTTCAGTTCCTCTTTTCTTCATTTCTCAAGCACTTCTGCCTATTGCTTTGCTGATAGTTCTTTCAAATCACATTTATTTCTAAAACTTTGTTAATAGAATACTTAAAGCATCCTATACATTCTCAGTTTCTCCTGTTTGCATAGCTCATGTTCAGCTAGTTTATCTTAACTATGCCATTGACTGTTGCTCAGATACAGTCTTGAGGCCCATGGTATGTACCCCCAATGTCCATGTGTTGCAAGGTGTAGGTAGAGATCATGGTAGGTTATAGTTGAGTTATATGGTTATATAGATTATATAGATATATATCTCACCTGTAATTTCCAGCACAGCCTCTCTCCATTAGTGTACAGAAAGGAACATGCACACTTTGCCTGGAAGAAGATGAATGCTTGTCACAGGAGATTTAACATTGATATATTGAACATTACTGACAAAAATCCAGAAATATCTATATCACAGAATCCCAGAATGGTTGAGGCTGCAAGGGACCTCTAGAGACCATGTAGTCCAACACCCTGCTCCAGCAGGGACACCCAGAGCATGGGGCACACACAGGGTGGCATCCAGGAGGGTTTGGAGCTCTCCAAAGAAGGAGACTCCACAGCCTCTCTGGGCAGCCTGTTCCAGGGCTCTGGCACCCTCATAGTAAAGTTATTCTTCCTCACATGGAGATGGAATTGCTTGGGTTTCAACTTGTACCCAGTACCCCTTGTCCTGTCACTGGCCATCACGGAGAAGAGTTTGGGCGCATCCTTCCTGCATTCTCTCCTCAGGTGCTTGCACATGTTGATCAGATCCCTCAATCTTCTCCAGGCTAACCAGGCCCAGCTGGCTTAGTCTTTCCTGATACAATAGATGCTCCAGTCCCTTAATCATCCTGGTTCTACACCGGACCCTCTCTAGAAGCTCCACATCCCTCTGGTACTGGCTTGTACCCTCTTGTGCTTGGGGGAGCCCACAACCGTGCACACAAAAACAGATCTGACCAAAAATAATTTGGACTGAAAAAACAGGACACTTCATACTTTATCCTATATACTTAGCTTTACTGGATAGTTAAAAGTTTCTGTACTTACATCATATCTTTTAATATGTTTTCATTTTCAGATAGGTTTATTATCATACCTTTGCATTCATTGATGCCAACTGTTAACCAGACTCAGGTATGTTTTCTATTTATTCTTTCATAATAAAGCAACTTTACACAACAATCCCTCCAAAAACAAATACTGAGCATGGTTTTGGTTCTAGCAAACATGTGTAAATGGACGATTGATGATTACAGGTTTTTAAGAAGACCCCACCAGGAGTAAGGAAAATTGTGATTGCTACCAACATTGCAGAGACTAGGTAAGTAGATATATAGCCTTAAAAAAGCTATACTCTTAACAAAATAAACAGAAGCAGTAATTACAGTAGAAACTTGTTTCTAAAATATTTGTACCATTTGTTTTGTAACAGTTTATCTTGATAGATATTTATGGACTAAACTGGAATTTTCCTTAAATAATTGTTTATAACAATTAAAGCATGAATCATTAAAATGACTTGAATTTGCTTAATTTGAGCTACCTATTCTCTTTGCAGATTTCTTAACAGTGTTGTGGCTTCTGCAAGATCTAGGAGAATAGATCAAGCTCTCTTTTGAAATGTTTAGTAAAATAATTCGTAATGAAATTCTCAACCAAGAATTGTTACTGTTGGTTTACAATTTGAGAGGGTGTAAAGAGATGTTGAACCTCTTCAAAATCTTGAGTTAAGCTTGTAAAGATGGGAGTTGCATCTTTTTTGTCTCTCTTTTCAAACAGCATTACAATAGATGATGTGGTGTTCGTTATAGATGGTGGAAAAATAAAGGAAACTCACTTTGATACACAGAACAACATTAGCACAATGGCGGCAGAGTGGGTTAGTAAAGCTAATGCCAAGCAGAGGAAAGGTCGAGCAGGAAGGTAAGTGTAACAAAGTGAGTTAGAAAGCTTTTGTTCTGCTAAGCTTCTGTCACCCTTGGAGCAGGGAACTTTGTTTTGGTAACCACATTAGAGCATGGCAAAGATATTACTTTATTTTCACTTACTAAGAAACAGGGTTGGCGTGATCGTCTCTTGCCTTTATTGAAAGAACGGTTTCACCATTCTCCTAGAGGACTGACTGACCTTGCTCTGCATGTGAATTAGGAAGTTTCCCTCCTCATTGCAGAAGAATAGCAGTTGTGCATGTCTTGGTGTTTTTCTGGTGTTTTTTTTTTCTTATTCATTGTATTGATGGTATTTGCCCTCATACTTTGTGAGGACACAATATATTAAAGCAAAAACTGCTTGTGAATTTATATTGCTGTGTATCAAATTAGTTGAGATTTGTCTGTCCTCAACTTACTTCATGGTATATTCTTTTGAAAGTTCCTCACAGACTTTACTGTTGTTCTCTAATCTTTTCATTGCTCCTCTTGAGCAGGTAAAAGGGAGTTTCTGTTGTTCAGTGTCTTTTATTTTGGTATTCTGATTTGTGTTTCAAAAGACTGAAATGGTTTTACAATTGAATGCATTTTAGGTTTAATGCCTTGAGATGTTTTGGAAGTCTGTTTATTTTTTTAGCAGTCATAATGTCACAATTTCGTAGTAAAAATACATTTTTAAAATGTGTCTGTATTGCAGGGTTCAGCCAGGTCATTGCTACCATCTGTATAATGGACTGCGTGCTAGCCTTCTGGATGACTATCAGTTACCCGAGATCTTGAGGACACCTTTGGAAGAACTATGTTTGCAAATCAAGGTAAATATGTGAATCTTCAAACATATGTGCTATGTACTTTTACAGTGGAATAAGAGAGAAACTTAATAAAACTCTGAGGCTGGGGTTGTGTTCAAGTCAGACTTCTGATATACTCACAGCTCTGTAGCTTTGTCTTATAATTGTATTGACATTTATAAAATGCATACGTGCATGTGGATACTAAGTCTAAGGCAAAAAAAGTTTGTGTCCAATATATACAAAAGCTGGAACTATTATTAAGAGCTATTAAGAAGCTATAAGAACTTACTATAAGAGCTATAAGAATGCAAATTTTTATGTGCTCATTTTCTCCAGAAACCTTGTTCTTTCTGAAAAAAGAGTTTCAGTGGGAATACTAGTGTGTCATGAGACACGACATCTTCAAAAAATTTTACAAGAGGGTAGTGTTAAAACTTAAATGAGTTTTCTTTTTGACAGTCTGTATTCAATTCCTTGTCAAAATGAAGTCAAAGCTACCACTTAAAAGCAATGGAGTTCGTGACTTAACTGTTAATGTCATATATGCATAAATGTTGAGTGAAGAATAGATCCTTATATGTAAAACTTCTCCATTAATACACTCTTATTTTTGCCCTTATTCCTTAAATAGTGAATTTCTAACTTAAGCGGTGGATTATTCACTTTTTTTTTCTTTTGTATTATTATTATTATTACTGATGCCCATCTTTCTCTAATTGTAGTGGTTTGCTTTTTTTCTTCCCCCCCACCTTTCCTGCCCTGCCAACCAGATTCTAAAGCTTGGTGGAATTGCTTATTTTCTGAGCAAACTAATGGATCCGCCATCTCGTGATGCTGTAATGTTGGCCATAAACCATCTAATGGAGCTGGTAAAGTATTATTTAATGTGCAGTTTCTTGCAAGGAAACTTTTGATTCAGAGCCATATTTCTAAATTACTTCTTATCAGGGACGATGCTGGCTGTGCAGGTCTAGATGTTTGAATCTACTTATTGTCTTGCTGGCCCATTACATAGTAAGGTTGTGCAGTGTTCTGTCCTCTTGTTTGGATGGAGAAAATAATTTTCATTTATAATAAATGAAGTTTTATGGGTTGCATAAAGTAGTTCGTGAGGAAATTTCTATGTTGCACAAAATAACATACCTGCTCTTTAGATTCCATGTACTTAACTCTTTGCTTCTGTAGCATCTTGCTCGTGGTTCTGTCGCTATCTTTCTGCCCCAGATGGGTTAGGTAAGAGCTTGAGATGCCTGTGTGAGATGCAGAGGCAGGTTAGGAGGGTGATCCTGTGTGTCAGTATCCATGTGAAGTGCCAGGGATGAGCAGGAGTGAGGCTCAGGAAATAAGCTAGAAAAGCCCCTTTGTAGCACAGGCCACAGAAGGCTGCGTGTTGTTTGTGTGACGGGGACTGAGGGTTTATGGACACATTTGTGCTGTTGATTCTTTTCCTCTTGGGGTGGTAGGCGGGGAGGGGAGATTACCTGAACAAATCAGTTGTTTTAATTCACTGCTAGTGTGTGACAGGGCTCTATGGTAGCAAAGAGCAGAGTAAATAAGAACAAAAGTGACATTGAGGGGAGCTAAGAGTCTAAATATAAGCTTGACGGGGAGAACAGGTCACTAAAGTGTGTGTGTGTTGTGGGGGTGTGTGTGTGTGTGTGTGTTTGTTTTAAAGCCTTCATCCAGAAAGACTCTGATCCCCAGTGCTTTAAACACAATTATTGATGTTTTCGCATTCCTGAAAACAGCAGTATTACCTTTTTTCTCTAGATGTATCAACTGCTATTTCAGGGAAATTCTCATTTTGTTTATTTGTTTGTGACAGAATGCTTTGGACAGACAAGAAGAGCTGACTCCACTTGGTGTCCATCTAGCACGATTACCAGTTGAACCACATATTGGAAAAATGATCCTGTTTGGAGCTTTGTTTTGTTGCCTGGATCCAGTACTTACAATTGCAGCTAGCCTCAGCTTCAAAGACCCTTTTGTCATTCCCCTGGTAAAGTTACTAAGAGAATAAAACATAGGATTTTAAGCATCTCAAAAGTAGATATTAGGACTTACGAAGGATATTAGAGCTTATTAAAATACTGTGCTTTAAAAGCTCTCTAGTCTTATTTTCACATTAATTATATTTGTGAGTAAAAGATTGTCTCGATGTACTGTGAGGCATTGCCTTTGCCTACAGAGTGACTTTTTCATGTATGTTACATGTGAAGTACAGATATATCACATATCCGTTATGGTGCGTGTGTATATATGTATATTTGTGTGTATTTATGTACTTAGCGAAAGTGAACTGGAAGAAGGAAAAGCTTGTCAGTCATAAGTATTTTATAGGTTCTAATTGTTCTAGGGCAAAGAGAAAGTAGCAGATGCAAGAAGAAAGGAACTGTCAAAGAACACTAAAAGTGATCATCTAACTGTGGTGAATGCTTTCACGGTGGGTTTATTTTATTTTATATTTTTCTCTCCTGCAAAACTTTGTAAAGTTTTGTAAAGCAATGTGCTTTATTTTAAGGAAAAGTCTGATGTTTGCTGAGAATTATTTCTCCTTGACTTCTACAAGAACACATTAAAACACAAGAACATTAATTTTCATGTTTTTATTGTTAAGGAATCTTATCTGCAGACTCAGTAGCCTAATTTAATTTCTTCTGGACAGATATACAGAAGAGCAGGAAAATGTAGCTTAGTAGTTCAAGATGGATGTTCTCAAAATGAATGCTTGATGAGCTGAACGTAATCAAGCTTCTTCCTGACAATTTTTTATTTGCCCTTCAAAAATCACTAAGTAACTTTTGTCCTGGCCTCTACAGGAGACCAAAGCTTACTACAGAAGTCTTGGGGACTTACCTGTATGTGGGGCTAAGAGGAGGAAGAAATAACATTGCTACCCAGGACTACTAATAGTACATTTTTGAATTTTTTTTATTTTTTATTTTTTTTTAATATTTAGGGATGAATTATAGCTAAGTTTTCCAGAACTTCATTTGTTACTAAGTCAGCTATGTAAAAAGATCAGAGACTTTCTCTTTTCTACAGAAGAGTATAACCATATTGCTAATGGATGTCCAGTTTTTGCACTGCTTTTTGTTATTGATTTGTATTTGTTCACTCCTGAACTCTTTTTGAACTGAATTTTCTTTGTTTTAATTTTTAGGGCTGGGAAGAGACTCGACGTCGTGGTTTCAGAACTGAGAAGGACTATTGCTGGGAGTATTTCCTGTCTTCAAATACACTCCAGGTAACACTTCAATGGCTTTGAAAAACGGTTGTCTCGGGGCAGGACAGGGAAGGCACTCGGGGCAGGCACTCTGTAATCTGGGACATTATTTTTTTCATAGATGCTGCACAACATGAAAGGACAGTTTGCTGAGCATCTCCTTGCGGCTGGATTTGTGAATAGCAGAGACCCCAAGGACCCCAAATCTAATACCAACTCAGGTGAAGAGTTGCAGGAGATGGAAAATTTCCTATAGTTGAAATCTGTTCACAAAACTGCATTATTTACTTTGCTGTCCTCTACAGATAATGAGAAGTTACTTAAAGCAGTCATCTGTGCTGGTTTATATCCAAAAGTTGCAAAGATCCGGCCAAGCTTTAGCAAAAGGAGAAAAATGTAAGCAATTGGTACACTCTTGTTTTGTGTTTGAGGTGTTTTCCACATTAGGTAGTTTAGCAAGGCAAAGCAACAGCTTGAATGAACAAATGAAGTTCTTTGTGCAGCTGGGCCGTGGCGTTAAGTTACTTCATTTGTGAATGATAGACCAGAACATGGGATTGTTGACTTCCACTTGCTGAAGCTGCAGCACAGTGTTACAAATATTAACAGCATGACTGGTAAGGGGTTCTTGCTATAACCCTCGAGCTACAGGAGCACATGAAATGCTCTCCATTCTTATTGTTTGACAAGATAGAGCCCAGCATCTCTGGTTGCTGATTATAACTTGTTAACATCAACAGAACATATGTAGATCTATGAACAAAATATCAACCTACTCGCCAGAATATAGCTATCCTAATCCATGACCTGATGTAGGTGTGATGGAATGAGGAATTGAATGTTTGGATCATCCTTCTGGGTGTGCCATGTGGAAATAACTTGCTCTGAGCAATTGCTGTTCATGTAATTAAACTCAAGTGAATTTTTCTATGAAAAGAGTAAAAACAGCTAGTCAAAATCATACTTTGTGTGAAATTTAGATCAGTTTAAGCTAGGTAATTTATAGCTGGCAGCTCCTAGCCAGCTGATTGTTTATTTTAAATTGACCTCACTCAGCTTGAATCACTTGAGTTCCTCTAACATTCTGTTTGCAAGCCTGATGCTAAGTGCTCTATTGCAGACTTTGCCACATGGTGGAGCTCGGTGTAAACAAGCTGCCCAGGAAGGTTCAGTTATATGTTCCATTAAGCAAGAGATTTACTATTCAAATCACTTTGCTAGAGTAAGTGTTCAGAACAGACTGAGTCTTTTGGAGACTACTGTTCTTCTATTTGCAAAATCCTCCTGCATGCAAAAGGCAGAGCTCTGTAACCCACGGCTTGAAGAATTGCAGCCCTGAAATAGGGAAGGGAGGAAGAAAAGCTATTTCATATTGTGCTCAAGCTCAAGGAATAAAGAGATGAAAGCATTATTATATTGAGAAGCAAATGTGCTTGGTAAATACAGGGGCTTGAAGGGGGTGTATTTAACAAAGAATTCACTCCTCTCAAATGAAGAGAGATGGTAGTCTTAAATTCATGTTGCCTTTGTGGGAAAGAGATGAAAACATCTCTGTCCTTTTATTTTGAGAATTTAGAACATTGTGGTAGTAATAGGGTTTTTTTTTTTTAAGTTAGGACATAATTGGATAAGTTTACAATATTTTATTTCAATCTCAAAAACTATTTTTCTTCTTTTAAGGGTGAAAGTTTGCACCAAGACAGATGGAACAGTCAATATTCATCCGAAATCTGTTAATGTAGAAGAGACAGAGTTCCATTATAACTGGCTCGTGTATCATTTGAAGATGAGGACTAGCAGTGTATGTGAATGTTCATATTTCTGTTTATTCTTTACTAAGCCTGCATGTAGGTGCCTCTTACTGTGGGCCGGGCACTGAAACCTTCTGGTTTGGGGTCACTCCTTTTGCATGAAATGAGATTCTGCTCTCTGATGCTGGCCTTGTTGTTCCACAAACAACTGATATGCTGACCTGTGTTAGATGTTGGCATCTTTGTAAAACCAAAGATGAAATACCTGCTTCTGGCAAAGATGGATATAAGCTTTTGGTTCCATTTATCCAGTCTGAAACTTATGAATATATGGAAAAAGTTAGTGGGACTTTTTCTTATTGCTAACAGAATAATTGGGTTGATTTCTTGTTTAATCAAATACTGTTTTTATGTTAACTTTTTCAACTGAATCATTTCAGGCCTGTTCTGTAAAATGATGAATGATTCTGAAAAATGATCTACGGGAGCTTTATTTTGTGCTGTGTTTACTAAGGGTCATGGGACAATTTTGTCTTTGCAGATTTACTTATATGACTGTACAGAGGTTTCTCCATACTGCCTCTTGTTCTTTGGAGGAGATATATCCATTCAGAAGGATAAAGATCAGGATACCATTGCTGTGGATGAATGGATTGTTTTCCAGTCTCCTGCAAGAATAGCAAACTTAGTTAAGGTGACTATGTTTAATAAGAACAACATATATGGAAGACTTGCTGTGAAACCGGGGCTTCTTAGGGGATTTTTGTATGTGATATTACTGTGTACATACTGATACATTGCTGTAGGAAGTTAACAGTCACTCTAAATGTATTCCCAGTAAATAGTTCCAACACATGTTGGGTTTACATTTATGTAACATATATGAATATTTCCATTTAAACAGTATAGGGCTTTCTCACAAGATGGCTCTGGGAAGGAAGGCTGAATTTGTCCATTTCAGTAAATGTTGCTATTTAAGCACCATTAAGGAGACTGTGTTAGCTGCAGAGTGTATGTAACTGGACACAGTTATGTGGAGAGTCAAATTCAGTTGCTGACAAAATATGGGTCCAATAAAGTTCTATTTTTGGTCATGGGCAATTTATTTTTAAGCTACAGAACACAAGGTAATTTCTGAAGGCTTGTAGATGAATGCGAATTAATGAGTGGTAACCGAAATAGTATTTTGAGCAGTCTATCACTTGACGAACTAGGCAGAAGTGAACAGTAATGTACTTGTGTGCTTGTGCCTTCATAGAGCATCCAGTGCCATAGCCGTGCGCCTCCGTAAGGCGCCGGGAACCGTAGGGAGAGGAAGTTCTTGTTTAGCCCATGCAACCTGTGCTGAAGTCCCTGGTTCCCAAAGGAGGCTGCCAAAATATGAAACTTTTGTAGAAGGGTCATAGGGTTGATCTGAAGGAACTATAAAACTATCTTGCTGTGAGGGATTGGATGAGCTGGACCTGGGTAGGTTTCCATAATAAAAGCTAGAGGATTATTTGGTCAGTCTGTTACCACCCACATGCATGTGGAAGCAGAAGGTTAGGGATCTTCAGTCTGGATTTATTAAGTTCCAGTGGAAAGAGGACCTAAATAGAGCTTGTTTAATGTTAGATATCACACTTCCTATTTCTACCTTATATATCTTACCTTATAATCCTGGAGCAGTCAGCTAGAGGATGTGCATGCTATTACAGCCCATAACACACAGAGATGGTCATCTGCAACACGAGGTGCAACTGCTGGGTTTTGAGAAGCAGCTTGTGATCTTGCAGTGAACACTGGTGAAATGAGCTGGCATTAGAATAGCAAGTAGGGGACAAAGATTTGGAAAAGGGTGTGTGCAATGGATTTAACTTACTAAAATAACCTTGTTGTATTTAGTTTGCTAAATGTGTCTTTTTCTTTCCCACCAAATTATTGTTTGCAGAATTTAAGGCAAGAGCTTGATGGTCTTCTACAAGAAAAGATAGAAAACCCACACCCTGTGGACTGGAATGATGTTAAATCCAGGGATACAGCGGTGCTGACAGCTATTATAGACTTGATCACAACACAGGAAAATGAAAGTGCCAAAAACTATGCTCCTCGATTTCAGAATGAACGTTACAGTTGATGCAGTTTCATTTGTGCTCATAAAACCAAGTTACTCACCTTTTTTATTTTCTTTGTCTGTTTTGTTTTGTTTTATAGCGTTTGTTTAGCTAGAGGAAAAGCTTTAGGGAAGCATACTGAAGAGCAGTTATTTCAAAATAGTTGGTAATATCTGTATATGCATGGTATACTGTGTTTACTGTAGCTTTTAAATAAGAGAAAAATCCAATGCTAGCAGTGATAGTTGGTGTATGTTGTTGTCCTGCAAAGCTAAACTACTGTTTAAATAGGC